ATCAACCTAGGCAAAATCATCGCTTTCCAGCTCTGTGAGTTGAGACCAATCGTTTCTCTTCTCCAGTCCTCACCTTTCTGCACCCAGTGTGAGATCTCAAGAGATAAAGCACTGGGCAGACTAGGATGCCGGGTCCATGAAAGAGATGATCTTTTCACTCTTAACCCTTTTCAATCCTTGGCCCCGCCGCTAGGAAATTTTTCCTTTAAGGCCAGGCCTTAAACTTACGGTGGAAAATAACAGAGGTTTTTAAAGGGCACTGAAACCACCCTCCTCAGCAGAATGTTCCCTGCACATTTGCTGTAGCCCGTGGCAGCCTCTGCTGGGAGCGGTCAGCCTTAGGGAGCACTTGTGGCTGCCGAGGGACGCCACAGGGTGATCGGAGGCTGGTAAACAGCACATGGCATTCTCGGCCTATGGCAAGCATTCATGCCCCGAATTCTTTGTCCTCGTGAGGAGAGACAGAGGGCTGCTCTGTGCTGCACTGTCCAAAGCCAGAACTCTGCTGTCCAAACCTCCAGCCGGAGAGCACGCCAAGGCTGAGGCGCGCATGCCACCAGCCCATTAAAGTGTGCTTGCGAAATAAACTTGACCAAACTTGGACTTCTTTCTTAAAAACTTGGGTTTGCTTCTTAATTCCAAAGGGAAACCATGGCACGGTTACAATGGAGAAAATTAGCAATCTCCTTGATCAAGGGATGGAGGTCACGTGGGTCCCGAGAAGTGACCTGACACCACTCCTGTGGTATTCCTGCTCCAAAATGCATAACCTGAATCAGACAAAGCCAGACTGAGGGACATGTCTTCAAATCAACTGGCCTCGTATATTTAAAAAATATCGATGTCCCAAATGACATAAAAAAGCTGAGGAAATGCTCCAGATTAAAGAAGCTAAAGAGACTGACCGTGACAACTAAATGTCATGTGGGGTCATGGGACATGGATTAAAGCCTATATGGGAAACAAACAAACAAACAAGCAAACATTGCCGTAAGGAAATTACTGGGCAATTAGTAAAATTTAAATATGGACTCTGTCAGAAAATAATATCATATGAATGTTAAATTTCCTGAATTTGATGATTATATTCTGGTTATATAGGAGAATGTTCATACATGCTAAAGTATTTAGGAGTGAAGGGTCATGGCGTCTGCAATTTACTCTCAAATGATTCAGCAAAAATAATGATAATTATAATATCTACACACAGAGGCAGATTAAAACAAATGAGGTAAAATTGATAAATCTAAGTAAAAGTTAGATGGATGCGCATTGCCTTCCTGCAACTTCTCTGTTGGTTCAAATTGAAAATAAATACACTTAAAAAAAAGGAACGTCAGTTACATGCTTAAGCTTCATCTCCCAGATATTATTCGTGTCACAGCTAACATGCAACACCAGAGAGCTAAGGTGAGACTCTGAAGACGTGAGACACGCAACCTAGCAACATGCAAAGCTCTGGTGGGTGCTATGCTTTTGCTTTGGGATACTGGAGACCTAGCAGCATTTCAGTTAACGCAGCCGTTACTCAAAACATTTGATCCAACTTACCAACCACACAGGAAAATTGGTTGTACGTTATAATCATGCCTTGCTTTTGACCCAAAACAGCTCCGTCCATCTAATTTTCAAGTCTTGCTTCTAAAAGGATCATAAACTATTGGGATTGGCCAGAGCCTTAGAGAATGCATGCCTTATCCCTGTTACAAACAAGGAAAATGAGGCTCAGAGGAGACCTTAATTTGCCCCAAGTCACAGCTAACCCCACTGACATCCAGGCCAGTGCTCTTTCCAGGGTTCTGTCCTGGTAACCGTGGAGTATCGTTCAGGCCTTTTGGCTGTTTGTAAAAATCAAAAGGAAGATTTTCGTTTCCCAAGAAAATAATTTTTTTTTTAATGTACAGGTGACATTGAGAGCAGTTCCAAAAGAGAGGGAACAAAAATATTCTCATCAATAGAATTTTCAGAGAAGTGTAGCACCTCCCAAGTATAAGTGTTTGTCTAAGACAAAAACTGTCATAATTATTTTATGATCCTACCTTAAATACATCCCACGCAACTGGGGCTATTCACTGTATAAGACTTCAAACTTGCCAAACAGAAAAATGAGAGGACTTGGGACATTGTCCCAGTTATTCTCCGTCTGCCCCTCCATCTTCAGACCCCTTCTCCCTGCTTCTCCGCCCTTCTCTGGGCCCCTAGGAGGTTGATCCGTCCCCCCTGCAACACCTAGGCTCGCCCGCCCTCCAGGGAGGCGCCAGCAGGAGGAAAGGTCAGAATATTTCTGCATCACGAGGCAAGGCGGGCATGCGAAGGTCCCTCCCCCGGCTGCAGGTCCTTCCCCCCAACGCTACAGCTCCTGCCCGTCCCTCCTCCGCCTCCAGCTCCAAGTACGCCATTCTTTCCCCAGATCCCGAAGGCCCAGGGGTAGTATCAGCTTCCTACCATCCCTGGGGGGCTCACCACCCCTTGCCGGCTCCTTTGCCCCTTGCCCTCTACTCCATAAACAGTCCTTCATTAAAGTCCCCGTGGCTGAACTACTTCCCAGTGAAATTCCATTTCCCGTAGGGACGGACCCTGACAGATAGAGAAATGAGTTAGAGTTGATGAAAATATTTATTGCCATTTGTGAGCATATGATGCCTTTCAAAATAATCCAATTCGCCAAATGTCCCCTTAACCACACAGCACTTCCCAGACACAGTCACACCACCTAAAGCAAGGCTGCCTTCCTCATTGTCGTTCCTGCCGGGATTCTGGAACGCGGAGGAAGGACGCTGGGGAGCCCAGCCCAGCCCTTCCCGGTCTCACAGAAACCGGGACCTCAGAGTTTAAGACCGGGAGAATCTGAGCACTGCGCGACTTTCGGGAACTACCTTGGACCGTCCCTATCCGGGACTGAGAGAGGGCAGGGTGGGTGGTGACGAAGGTGTCAGGACGGACAGAGATGGGGAAACGCGTGGGCAGGCGGGATGGGCAAAGGAAAGCCGGCTGGCATGGGTCCTCCACACGCCCCCGCACCCCAGCACTCGGCACGTCCTCCATGCTGCCCCTTCTAACATTCCCGACAAGAGCGAGGGCCCCTGTGCTGTGGCCACTGCCTCCAGCTCGTGCCTGACATGGGAAGAGGGCAGCTGATTTGAATGGCCAGTTGCCATGTTCATTCTCCATCTTACCCACCAGCCCCAGACTGTCCCAGCCAATGATCTCTCGCCCCGAGGGCCCAGGAACCAGCACTATCCTTATCCTCATCGTCCCTGGGAGGAGTATCGTTTACATGTGTATGTTCCGGCATCTGAAGCGTTCCAGTTTCCCACATCCACCATATCATTCCGTCTGTGGAAGTCAGCAGAGGAGGCTTCTGAGACCAGCAGGGCTCAAAAATTACTTATTGAATGGATACTGAGGGCTACTACTGGCTTACATCACCCCTTCCTCAAGCTAAAAAAAGAAGAAGAAAAAAAAAAAAACGATGTACCATTGGACAACCTAGCTAGTTCTACCCAAGGGATCTTTCCAGCGTCCCAGGGGACATTCCCCCTCCAGCTGTGTACACAGAGCATCCCACCGTCACCCCCTCATCCCACCCTCCAGACACCAGGACATACGACTTGGGAACCATGCACTGTCCCATCCCACATCACTTAATTCTCAGCTTCAGAATTAAGGATCAGGAATTGAACTTTGAGCTGTGGTTGAGTGAAAGCATCCTCGGAGGTACCCAGATGGTTAGGACGGAAGGAAGCTGCAGGTAGACGTGTGCCAGTGGGCCTCGCACTCTTCCGAGTGTGTGTAAAGAGACTCAGCCGCCTCTCTGGGACTCTGTACCCAACCTCCTGCTCTCCATAAATTAACATGCAGCTGTGCCCTTGCATAGCAGACAACCCGAATACCTGAAGGGACTGTCCTATGGATACTGTCCCCATTTTATGGGTGACAAAACTGAGGTTCAAGGAAGTGTCACCCGATTCACAAAAGTGGCTACAGGTCGGTCCTCTTAAGAAAAGCAGCAGGGGATCAAGCACCTCCCTTATTACCTATCCCTGATTACCTTCCAAAACCCTCGGGCTGTGCTGACTGAGGTGGGAATGAACGGATTTCCCAAGAAAATAAAGCTGATGAATGCTGGGAGCTGATGAATGCTGGGCCGAAATCAAGCAAAGGCAGGTGGAGTTTATGCAGACAGAAGGTCCCAGTGATACACGCAGAAACCAGCTGACAAGATGGTACTGGGGAGCGGGATGGGGTGGCAGCTGTTACCCCTGGTCTGGGGGAGACCAGAGAGGTGCAGAGCTGCCTCCACCGGCAGAAACGTGGCAGCTTTGGGGAATGACAAGGGGGACGAGCTTGGTCCGATTGTTTTGGCATAGGAGGGTGCTGCTGCTCTCTGCCCAACAATGACCAACATTAGGAACCAGTTTCTAGAAGGCTCTCCACCACATACGGTCCGCAGAGCTGGAAATCATAAGGGGACTATGGTGAGAAGAGATGTCATAAAGTTTAGCCTTATAACGGACTAAAAGGAACCATAAAGACATCTACTGCAAGATCAGCACCCTCGTTTCAATGACGAGAAAACTGCAGCCCAGACAGGGCAGGTAACTGGAGGCCACCCAGCAAAGCGACGGCCAAGTCAGGGATAGATGACAGGCCCGCAATTCACAGCCAGATCCCTTTCGGCCACTCCAATCGGCCTCTTTATTTTTTCATTCACACCTGTACACTTTTTACCCATTTAGCACTATTTCTGATTCGTGTATTCGTATCTGAGGATGCAAAGTTGATGAGTGGGTTCTGGGGCTTGGGCTGCCAACACGCCACGCCCCTCTTGACTTCTCAGCAATGGTACGGCCAGCCTCACCGTGAGAAGCCAAGAATTCCTCCCATTGCCCATTAATAAAGCCAGCGATGCCACTGGGTAGATGCAGTGACCTGTCAGGGCTGGTGTACAGCCTCCCCCAGCTTCATCCTCTCGACACACAATGCAAAGGCACGAGACATCAGGGTTAATAAACAGCTTTATTTGCCTTTGACAGCATCAATTTTCTTACACTCTCAATTAATTTGCCAGTAAAGTGCGGGAAATTTTCTTAATCATAACATTTGTTAAAAGAGATCAGAATATCAGGAACATGGCGGCTATAAAGAAAACATTTCTCTTACAAAACACAGAATGGAAGCCCCTTGTGTTGAGCTAGTGGGTTGGCCAGTTTGCAAAGAGATTCTAACTCCCTCTCACCATGAACACCACACTGGCTGGGGCCACTGCCCCAGGGAAAAAAAAGCAATGCTGAAGCCTTCTAGAAAACACCCACGCGCCCAGCCTGCCGGTTCCTCTCCGCCATTTTGGGTGTTTGCTGTGTAAACAGAACCAATCTTAGTTGAAACAGAGGGCTGGCCCTCTCTACTGCTTTCTACCCCACCCCACCCTTACTAACAAAAGCCCCCAAAGTCATTACGATGAAAAAGTGGGTTTCCATTACCCCAACACTAACAATGTTCAGTAAAAATGAGGATAATAAACACAAAAGCTTGCATAGTAAACAGGAGCTCTCAGCATCCAATGCAAAAAAAAAAACAAAAAAAAAAACTGAAATCTTAAGGCAAATACTGTTGACTCCGCACACGGGCTGGATGACCTTGTAACTCTTCACCTATCTGCAAAGCTCCGGGAGCCTAAATGCGGCTGGCTTGTCAGCGCTTGCCACTGGCGGAGGCCAAAATCTTTGCATGACTGCTGAGGCTGTGAGTGTGTTTCTCTCTGAGATTATATACAAACACACCCCAGGCTGGTGTAGTTTTATACATCTATGTACACAAAGGCCTGCTACTCTTTCTTTGCGGAAACCACCAGCTCCACCTCGGGAAGCTGGATGCCAACCTTGGTCCCACTGTCATTGCTGGAGGAAGAGGACAGTCGGGACTTCTTAGAGGCCAAGGACACTCCACTCCCCTGTAACTTGCCTGCCTCGTCATCGCTCCCAGTCACCTCATAATGACCTTTGCTCTTTGACCCCAAGCCACCAAAGGTACCAAACTTCAGCTTGCCCTGTTTCCCTTTGACTTTTCCGCCTTCCAGCGCCATTTCCCCACCTTCGAACTCCAAAGTCCCGGTCGGGGTGGTAGGTGCAGAGAGCTCCCTTTCGTCGCTGAAGGAATTCGAGCGGTGCCGTGGCTTCTTACTTTTAAATAAGGAGAACTTGGCTTTGGGCGAAGATGGTTCGGCCTCTGCCTCCCCTTCCAGAGAGCCGAGGCTGACCTTCGAGCTCTTCAGGTCACCTTTGGACCCCGAAATGGACGCTTCTGGTGAGCCAGTGACAGCACCTTTCCCTTTAGCCTTAGAAAAATTGAACTTGGGCATTTTGATTTTGGACTTCTTAAGTTTCACGTCGGACTCCTCCCACTCGCCCTCCCCGGCACCGGCCTGGACACCGGCCTCCACTTGAGGGAAGTTAATATCCACTCCTACTTCTCTGCCAACCAGCTCTCGGCCAGAGGTGAATTTGGGAATCTTCATCTTGGGGAATGTTACTTTTCCAGATCTGCTTTCCAAGTGGCCTTGAGGCCCAGACACACTCAGTCCAGGACCCTGGAGTCCAATCTGGCCTCCTTTCACACCTCCTTCCACCTTTGGTCCTGAGAAATGAAGTCCTCCAGCAAACTTAGGTGCCTCCAAGTTGAGAGCAGAGGAAACCTGGGGTCCCTTCCACTCACCCCCAGAACCTTTGACACTCATATGCCCTTCACCCAGGCTGATATCTGGGGCACTGACACCCCCTGAAACATCCACACCTCCTTTGACTTTCGGACCCTTCAAGCTGACACCGAAATCTGACTCAGGAGATGCCATGTTAAACGAAGGCCCCTTCACGCTGATGTCGGGAGGGGCGCCGTGGACACCTACTCCTGAACCTTTCAGATTGCCTTTGATTTCAGGGCCGGAAATTTGCCCCGTGGGGAGTTTCACGTTGACACCTCGCAGCTCCATGTCACATCCAGAGGCCTTCATTCCAGGCATTTGGAGGTTTCCTTCTAGGCCCTGAACGCTGATGCCTGGAACACCTCCTCCAACAGAGGGGCCTTTCATCTCACCAGAGACCCCGAGGCTCCCTTTTACTTTTGGTCCTTCCAAGTTCAAGTCCACATCCGGTGCTGAGATTTGAGGGCCGGAGATCTGAGGCCCTTTCAGGTTCAGGCCGCCCAGGTTCACATCCACGCCCGGCCCTTTTAGTTCCCCAGTAACTCGTGGCCCCTTGACATTGATGTCCAAGTCGGACCCTGGCGCGGAGATGCCAAACTGGGGCAGCTTCATTTGGGGAAGTGTAAAACCACCTTCGGGTGCCTCCAAGTTTAGGTTGGGAGCACCTACTGATACTTTCGGGCACTTGACGTCACCGGAGACAGCCAGGTCTCCCTGCAGGCTTGGTCCTTTCAGGTTCAGGTCCGGTCCAGAGACTTTTGGCATCGACAGGTTCGCTGAAGGCAAGTCTACTTTTGGCCCCTTCAGAGACACGTCAGGCCCTTCGAACTTAACATCCGGTGCACTCAAGCCTCCCTCCAGCGAGGGCAGCTGGGCATGGCCCCCAGCTCCCCCACCCTCTATTTTCACACCAGGGACACCGATCTTGGGCATCGAAAACTTGGGGAACTTGATTTTCGAGTCTGGACCTTGCAGATCTACGTCTGGTCCTTCTAGTCCCACACTGGGGCCATCGCCCTTAATCTTTGGTCCTTTCAAGCTAACGTTCACATCAGGGATGGTGACTTGAGGGGCAGAAATGCCAAATGACGGGCCTTTCACTTTAGCATCTGGGCCTTCAACGTTGATGCCAGGTGCGTTCAAGTTTGCCTGCACCCTGGGGCCTTTCAAATCGCCCTCTATTTTGGGACCTGAGACATCCACACCTGGCGCCTTGAACTTGGGAGCCTTCAGCTTGATGTCGGGACCTTCCACGTTAATCCCCGGTGAAGCAATATCCAGATCGGGTGCCTGGATCTCCCCCTCCAATTTGGGGGTAGGGAGGGGGGCCTCCGTTTTAAATTTAGGTGATTTAATGTCAAATTCTACGTCTGGGAAGTACATCTTTCCAAACATAGGTTTCTTGGTTTTAGGAGATTTAAGTGTGGCATCTGGCCCTGCGACATTCAGATCTACATCAGAAGTCTTGAGACTGGCATCAATTTCGCCCCCAGGGACATTCAGATCAAATCCTTGTTTCTTGGCCTTAATTTTAGGCCCACTCATGTGTATTTTCGGCATTTTAAATTTACTTTTCTTGCCCTTGCCACCAACACTGATTTCAGGAGTCTCGACATTCAGCTCCGCCTCAGGAACAGTCACCTCCAGTGAAGGTGATTTGATGTCAGCTTTGGGGCTTTTTGCCCCAAATCCAAACTTGGGTTTCTTAAATTTGGGAATTTTAACATCTGGTCCCTCAATGTTAAGATCTGGGCTCTCCATGTGTACATCTAAATTTGGAGCTTCTAAGTCAAGTTTGGGTCCCTTGAGGTCCAGTTCACCACCTTCTAATTTGGGACCAGAAACTCCGATTTTGGGTGCCTTGAGATGCAAATCGATATCAGGAACAGTTACTTTAGGGGCAGATATATCCAGTGATGGCATCTTCAAATTTGGGCCACTGAATTTGGCATCAGGGCCTTCAAAATCAAGACCTGGACCTTTAAGGTCTACTTCTGGGCCTTTAAAACTACCTTCAACCTTAGGAACAGACACATCAAAATCTCCTTTGACTTTGGGTCCTTTCAAATCCAGATCAACATCAGGCATGGAGATTTTGGGGGCTTTGATATTTATCTCAGGCATTTTGAACTTGGGGCCCTTCAGTTTTGCATCTGGACCTTCAATATTCACATCTGGAACATCAATGTCCACCTTAGGTCCTGAGACAGCAAGGTCGGCCTTGGGCAGGTTCACATCCACGTCTGGGCCCTCTCCTTTGAAGCCAGGCATGCTGAACTTGGGCATCTTCACCTTGGGCATCTTCAGGTGCCAGTCTGGGCCATGAACGTCCACATCGGGGGCATCAATGTCCACTTTGGGCCCTTTGATGTCAATTCCAGGACCCTTGAGGTCACCTTCCACTTTGGGCAGAGAGACATCCACATCGCCCTTCATTTTGGGGCCCCTCAGGTTCAGATCAAGGTCAGGCATGGAGATCTTGGGTGCTTTGATGTTCATCTCTGGCATCTTGAACTTGGGGCCCTTCAGCTTCGCATCTGGACCTTCGATATTCACATCTGGAACATCAATGTCCACCTTGGGTCCTGAGACATCGATGTCAGCCTTGGGCAGGTTCACATCCACATCTGGGCCCTCTCCTTTGAAACCAGGCATGCTGAACTTGGGCATTTTCCCCTTGGGCATCTTCAGGTGCCAGTCTGGGCCATGAACGTCCACATCGGGGGCATCAATGTCCACTTTGGGCCCTTTGATGTCAATTCCAGGACCCTTGAGGTCACCTTCCACTTTGGGCAGAGAGACATCCACATCGCCCTTCATTTTGGGGCCCCTCAGGTTCAGATCAAGGTCAGGCATGGAGATCTTGGGTGCTTTGATGTTCATCTCTGGCATCTTGAACTTGGGGCCCTTCAGCTTCGCATCTGGACCTTCGATATTCACATCTGGAACATCAATGTCCACCTTGGGTCCTGAGACATCGATGTCAGCCTTGGGCAGGTTCACATCCACATCTGGGCCCTCTCCTTTGAAACCAGGCATGCTGAACTTGGGCATTTTCCCCTTGGGCATCTTCAGGTGCCAGTCTGGGCCATGAACGTCCACATCGGGGGCATCAATGTCCACTTTGGGCCCTTTGATGTCAATTCCAGGACCCTTGAGGTCACCTTCCACTTTGGGCAGAGAGACATCCACATCGCCCTTCATTTTGGGGCCCCTCAGGTTCAGATCAAGGTCAGGCATGGAGATCTTGGGTGCTTTGATGTTCATCTCTGGCATCTTGAACTTGGGGCCCTTCAGCTTCGCATCTGGACCTTCGATATTCACATCTGGAACATCAATGTCCACCTTGGGTCCTGAGACATCGATGTCAGCCTTGGGCAGGTTCACATCCACATCTGGGCCCTCTCCTTTGAAACCAGGCATGCTGAACTTGGGCATTTTCCCCTTGGGCATCTTCAGGTGCCAGTCTGGGCCATGAACGTCCACATCGGGGGCATCAATGTCCACTTTGGGCCCTTTGATGTCAATTCCAGGACCCTTGAGGTCACCTTCCACTTTGGGCAGAGAGACATCCACATCGCCCTTCATTTTGGGGCCCCTCAGGTTCAGATCAAGGTCAGGCATGGAGATCTTGGGTGCTTTGATGTTCATCTCTGGCATCTTGAACTTGGGGCCCTTCAGCTTCGCATCTGGACCTTCGATATTCACATCTGGAACATCAATGTCCACCTTGGGTCCTGAGACATCGATGTCAGCCTTGGGCAGGTTCACATCCACATCTGGGCCCTCTCCTTTGAAACCAGGCATGCTGAACTTGGGCATTTTCCCCTTGGGCATCTTCAGGTGCCAGTCTGGGCCATGAACGTCCACATCGGGGGCATCAATGTCCACTTTGGGCCCTTTGATGTCAATTCCAGGACCCTTGAGGTCACCTTCCACTTTGGGCAGAGAGACATCCACATCGCCCTTCATTTTGGGGCCCCTCAGGTTCAGATCAAGGTCAGGCATGGAGATCTTGGGTGCTTTGATGTTCATCTCTGGCATCTTGAACTTGGGGCCCTTCAGCTTCGCATCTGGACCTTCGATATTCACATCTGGAACATCAATGTCCACCTTGGGTCCTGAGACATCGATGTCAGCCTTGGGCAGGTTCACATCCACATCTGGGCCCTCTCCTTTGAAACCAGGCATGCTGAACTTGGGCATTTTCCCCTTGGGCATCTTCAGGTGCCAGTCTGGGCCATGAACGTCCACATCGGGGGCATCAATGTCCACTTTGGGCCCTTTGATGTCAATTCCAGGACCCTTGAGGTCACCTTCCACTTTGGGCAGAGAGACATCCACATCGCCCTTCATTTTGGGGCCCCTCAGGTTCAGATCAAGGTCAGGCATGGAGATCTTGGGTGCTTTGATGTTCATCTCTGGCATCTTGAACTTGGGGCCCTTCAGCTTCGCATCTGGACCTTCGATATTCACATCTGGAACATCAATGTCCACCTTGGGTCCTGAGACATCGATGTCAGCCTTGGGCAGGTTCACATCCACTTCTGGGCCTTCTCCTTTGAAGCCAGGCATGCTGAACTTGGGCATTTTCCCCTTGGGCATCTTCAGGTGCCAGTCTGGGCCATGAACGTCCACATCGGGGGCATCAATGTCCACTTTGGGGCCTTTGATGTCAATTCCAGGACCCTTGAGGTCACCTTCCACTTTGGGCAGAGAAACATCCACATCGCCCTTCATTTTGGGGCCCCTCAGGTTCAGATCAATGTCAGGCATGGAGATCTTGGGTGCTTTGATGTTCATCTCTGGCATCTTGAACTTGGGGCCCTTCAGCTTCGCATCTGGACCTTCGATATTCACATCTGGAACTTCAACATCCACTTTGGGTGCTGAGATATCGATGTCAGCCTTGGGCAGGTTCACATCCACATCTGGGCCCTCTCCTTTGAAACCAGGCATGCTGAACTTGGGCATTTTCACCTTGGGCATCTTCAGGTGCCAGTCTGGGCCTTGAACATCCACATCTGGGGCATTGATGTCCACTTTGGGGCCTTTGAGGTCAACTTCAGGGCCTTTCAGATCACCTTCCACCTTAGGTAGGGAAACATCCACATCGCCTTTTACCTTGGGACCTTTCAGATGCAAATCAAAGTCAGGCATGGAGATCTTGGGAGCTTTGATGTTCATCTCTGGCATCTTGAACTTAGGACCTTTCAATTTCCCCTCAGGACCTTCGATGTTAACATCAGGGCCTTCAATGTCCACTTTGGGTCCTGAGATGTCAATGTCAGCCTTGGGCAGGTTCACATCCACGTCTGGGCCCTCTCCTTTGAAGCCAGGCATGCTGAACTTGGGCATTTTCACCTTGGGCATCTTCAGGTGCCAGTCTGGGCCATGAACATCCACATCAGGAGCACCGATGTCCACTTTCGGACCTTTGATGTCTATCTCAGGGCCTTTCAGATCTCCTTCAATCTTGGGGAGGGAAAGGTCCACATCACCTTTCACCTTGGGGCCCTTTAGGTTTAAATCAATATCAGGCATTGAGATCTTGGGAGCCTTTAGGTGCATTTCTGGCATCTTGAATTTGGGTCCCTTCAAATTCCCCTCTGGGCCTTCGATGTTAATATCAGGAGTGTCAATGTCCACTTTAGGGCCCTTGATGTCCACCTCAGGGCCCTTCAGGTCACCTTCCACTTTGGGCAAAGACACGTCCACATCACCCTTCATTTTGGGGCCCTTCAGGTTCAGATCAAAGTCCGGCATAGAGATTTTGGGAGCTTTGATGTTCATCTCTGGCATCTTGAACTTAGGGCCCTTCAGTTTTGCATCTGGACCTTCGATATTCACATCTGGGGCATCAATGTCCACTTTGGGGCCAGAAATATCAAGGTCAGCTTTAGGGAGGGTAACATCCACCTCTGGACCCTCTCCTTTGAAGCCAGGCATGCTGAACTTGGGCATTTTCACCTTGGGCATCTTCAGGTGCCAGTCTGGGCCATGAACGTCCACATCTGGGGCATCGATGTCCACTTTGGGCCCTTTGATATCAACCCCTGGCCCTTTCAGATCTCCTTCAACTTTGGGCAGAGAAACATCCCCATCACCTTTAACTTTGGGGCCTTTCAAGTTTAAATCAATGTCAGGCATGGAGATCTTGGGGGCTTTGATATTTATGTCAGGCATCTTGAATTTGGGACCCTTTAAGCCTCCTTCTAGACCTTCCACATTTACTTCTGGGCCCTCAAAATCCATGCTGGGTCCCTCTATCTTGATATCTCCTTTTGGCAGATCCATAGCCATGTCAGGCCCTTCTGCTTTTAAGCCAGGCACACCAAACTTGGGCATTTTCATCTTGGGCATTTTCAAATTCCAGTCTGGACCGTGAACATCCACATCAGGTGCATCAAGATGAACTTCTGGTGCCTTAATATCCACTTTGGGTTCCTTAAAGTCACCTTCTAAATTTGGACCAGCAACATCTATGTCTCCTTTGACTTTAGGACCTTTCAGATTTAACTCCACATCCGGCATAGAAACTTTAGGAGATGAAATACTCAGGAAAGGCATTTTGAACTTGGATCCTTTCACTTTTCCTTGGACCTCAACATCGGGAGCATTGATATCAACTTTGGGGCCTGTTACATCAACATCTGGCTTTTTAACTTTGACGTCCACCTCAGGTGTCTGAACTTTGGAGCCCGAAAAATTAAATTTGGGAAGCTTAAAACGAGATTTCTTGGACTTGCCTTCAATATTGAGCTTAGGACCAGAAATGTCCACTTCTGGGCCCTTTACATCCAACTTGGGAGCTTTAATGTCACCTTCTAATTTGGGCCCAGAAACATCAACGTCTCCTTTAAGCTTTGAGCCTTTCAAATTCAAGTCAATTTCTGGCATGGAGATCTTGGGCATGTTTACATGCATGTCAGGCATCTTTAGTTTTGGACCTTTCAATTTACCTTCTGGGCCATGAATGTCAATATCTGGAGCATCTAAATCTAACTTTGGGCCTTTGATGTCAAGCATAGGTCCTTTCAAATCACCTTCTACATTTGGAAGTGAAACATCCACATCTCCTTTCATTTTAGGGCCTTTAAGATTAAGGTCCAAATCTGGCATTGATATCTTAGGAGCTTTGATATTCATCTCTGGCATCTTGAACTTGGGGCCCTTTAGCTTCGCATCTGGACCTTCGATATTCACATCTGGAACATCAACGGCCACCTTGGGTCCTGAGATGTCAATGTCAGCCTTGGGCAGGTTCACATCCACGTCTGGGCCCTCTCCTTTGAAGCCAGGCATGCTGAACTTGGGCATTTTCACCTTGGGCATCTTCAGGTGCCAGTCTGGGCCATGAACATCCACATCTGGAACATCAATGTCCACTTTGGGGCCCTTGATGTCTACTTCGGGGCCCTTGAGGTCGCCTTCCACTTTGGGCAGAGAAACGTCCACATCACCCTTTACTTTAGGACCCTTCAGATTCAGGTCAACTTCAGGCATGGAGATCTTGGGTGCCTTGAGATGCAAGTCAGGCATTTTAAACTTGGGGCCCTTCAGTTTCCCTTCTGGGCCGTGAATGTCAATGTCAGGAGTGTCTATGTCCAGCTTAGGGCCTTTCACATCTCCTTCCAGTTTAGGAATGGAAACGTCCAAATCTCCTTTTACTTTAGGTCCTTTCAAGTTCAAATCAATGTCACTCATGGAGATTTGTGGAGTTTTGAAATGCACGTCGGGCATCTTAAATTTGGGACCTTTGATTTTCCCTTCGGGACCCTCAATGTCCACCTCTGGCCCTTTCAGGTCACCTTCCACCTTAGGCACTTTACCTTGGGACCTTTCAGATGCAAATCAAAGTCAGGCATGGAGATCTTGGGAGCTTTGATGTTCATCTCAGGCATCTTGAACTTAGGGCCTTTCAACTTTCCCTCAGGTCCTTCGATGTTAACATCAGGGCCTTCGATGTCCACTTTGGGTCCAGAGATGTCAATGTCAGCCTTGGGCAGGTTCACGTCCACTTCTGGGCCCTCTCCTTTGAAGCCAGGCATGCTGAACTTGGGCATTTTCATCTTCGGCATCTTCAAGTGCCAATCTGGGCCATGAACGTCCACATCGGGGACATCGATATCCATTTTGGGGCCTTTGAGGTCAACTTCAGGGCCTTTCAGATCTCCCTCTACCTTGGGACCTGTAACATCCAGCTCTCCTTTCACTTTTGGACCTGTCAGATTAAGATCAATATCTGGCATGGATATCTTTGGAGTCTTAAAATGCATTTCCGGCATCTTAAACTTTGGACTTTTCCACTTTCCTTCTGGTCCTTCAACACTCACATCTGGACATTCGAGGTCCACTTTGGGTGCTGAGACATCGATGTCAGCCTTTGGCAGGTTCACATCCACGTCTGGGCCCTCTCCTTTGAAGCCGGGCATGCTGAACTTGGGCATTTTCACCTTGGGCATCTTCAGGTGCCAGTCTGGGCCTTGAACATCCACATCTGGGGCATCGATGTCCACTTTGGGCCCTTTGATATCAACATCAGGACCTTCCACTTTAGGCAGAGATACATCCACATCACTCTTTACCTTGGGACCTTTCAGATGCAAATCAAAGTCAGGCATGGAGATCTTGGGAGCTTTGATGTTCATCTCTGGCATCTTGAACTTAGGACCTTTCAACTTTCCCTCAGGTCCTTCGATGTTAACATCAGGGCCTTCGATGTCCACTTTGGGTCCAGAGATGTCAATGTCAGCCTTGGGCAGGTTCACATCCACGTCTGGGCCCTCTCCTTTGAAGCCAGGCATGCTGAACTTGGGCATTTTCATCTTGGGCATCTTCAGGTGCCAGTCTGGGCCATGAACATCAGGCGCATTTATGTCTACTTTGGGGCCTTTGATGTTCACATCTGGTACTTTAATTTTACCTTCTACCTCGGGCACAGACACATCTACATCCCCCTTGATTTTCGGTCCTTTCAGATTTAAGTCCACATCAGGCATAGAAATATTTGGGGCTTTGAAATGCATGTCAGGCATCTTGAACTTGGGGCCTTTCAATTTGCCCTCTGGTCCTTCAATGTCGATATCTGGGCCACTGATGTCACCTTTCAGGTCTGGTCCTTTAAAGTCACCTTCCAATTTAGGAACATCTACATCCACCTCTCCCTTGACCTTGGGGCTTTTTAAGTGTAGATTAATGTCTGGCATGGAGATTTTGGGAGCTTTAAAGTGCATGTCCGGCATCTTAAATTTAGGACTTTTCCATTTGCCATCTGGGCCTTCCACAGCTACGTCTGGCATGTCAACATCCAATTTGGGGCCCTTGACATCCAATTCTGGACCCTTTAACTCTCCTTCCATCTTTGGGGCAGAAACATCAACGTCTCCTTTAATTTTAGGCCCCTTTAAGTTGAAGTCCACATCAGGCATGGAAATCTTGGGGGCATGAAAGTGCATCTCAGGCATCTTGAACTTAGGACCTTTCAGTTTTCCTTCTGGACCCTCGACAGTCACATCTGGAGTTTCAATGTCCACTTTGGGTCCAGAGATGTCAATGTCAGCCTTGGGCAGGTTCACGTCCACGTCTGGGCCCTCTCCTTTGAAGCCTGGCATGCTGAACTTGGGCATTTTCATCTTGGGCATCTTCAAGTGCCAGTCTGGGCCATGAGCATCCACATCTGGAACACTGATGTCAACTTTGGGGCCTTTGATGTCCACATCCGGCACTTTCATTTCACCTTCTACCTTGGGCACGGACACATCGACATCCCCTTTGACTTTGGGGCCTTTCAAGTGTAAGTCCACATCAGGCATGGAGATCTTGGGAGCCTTGAAGTGCATGTCTGGCATCTTAAACTTGGGACCCTTCAGCTTCCCTTCTGGTCCCTCAAGGCTCACATCTGGGGCTTCAATGTCCACCTTGGGTCCAGAGATGTCAATATCAGCCTTGGGCAGGTTCACATCCACTTCTGGGCCCTCTCCTTTGAAGCCCGGCATGCTGAACTTGGGCATTTTCATCTTGGGCATCTTCAGGTGCCAGTCCGGGCCTTGAACATCAACATCGGGGACATCAATGTCCACTTTAGGTCCTTTGAGGTCAACATCTGGCACTTTCATTTCACCTTCTACCTTGGGCACGGACACATCGACATCCCCTTTGACTTTGGGGCCTTTCAAGTGTAAGTCCACATCAGGCATGGAGATCTTGGGAGCCTTGAAGTGCATCTCAGGCATCTTAAACTTAGGGCCCTTCAACTTTGCATCAGGACATTCCAGATCAACATCAGGCACCTCCACATCCACACTGGGGCCCTTCAAATCTCCTTCCAATTTTGGCACAGACACATCGACATCTCCTTTGACTTTGGGCCCTTTCAAGTTTAAGTCTATATCAGGCATGGAGATCTTGGGGGCCTTGAAGTGCATCTCAGGCATCTTAAACTTAGGGCCCTTCAACTTTGCATCAGGACATTCCAGATCAACGTCAGGCACCTCCACATCCACACTGGGACCTTTGATATCAACTTGTGGACCTCTGAGATCACCTTCGAGTTCTGGCACAGAAGCATCTATCTCTCCTTTCAGTTTGGGTCCCTTCAAATTGAAGTCCACATTTGGCATGGATATCTTGGAAGGTTTGATATTCAACTTAGGCATTTTAAATTTAGAGCCTTTTAATTTCCCTTCGGGTCCCTCAATATCCAAATCAGGTGCATCAATGTCCACTTTGGGGCCAGAAACATTAATGTCGGCCTTTGGCAAGTTCACATCCATGTCCGGGCCCTCGCCTTTGAAACCTGGCATGCTAAACTTGGGCATTTTCATCTTGGGCATCTTCAGGTGCCAGTCCGGGCCATGAACATTCACATCTGGGACATCAATGTCCACTTTGGGTCCTTTGACATCAACATCCGGCACTTTCATTTCACCTTCTATCTTAGGCATAGAGACATCCACATCGACATCCCCTTTGACTTTGGGGCCTTTCAAGTGTAAGTCCACATCAGGCATGGAGATCTTGGGGGCCTTGAAGTGCATGTCTGGCATCTTAAACTTAGGACCTTTCAGCTTTCCTTCGGGACATTCAATGTCAATATCACCAACATCCACATCCACCTTAGGGGCTTTCACATCTATTTCAGGAACTTTCAAGTCTCCTTCCACTTTAGGAAGGGAAACGTCCACATCCGTTTTCAGTTTAGGGGCTTTCAGATTAAGTCCAACATCAGGCATAGAGATCTTGTGTGTCTGTATATTCATACTTGGCATCTTAAACTTGGGACCCTTTAGTTTCCCCTCTGGACCTTCGATATTCACATCTGGAGCATCGATGTCCACCTTAGGTCCAGAGACATCGATGTCGGCCTTGGGCAGGTTCACATCCACGTCTGGGCCCTCTCCTTTGAAGCCAGGCATGCTGAACTTGGGCATTTTCACTTTGGGCATTTTCAGGTGCCAGTCTGGGCCATGAACTCCCACATCTGGTGCATTAATGTCCACTTTGGGGCCTTTGATGTTGACATCAGGAGCTTTTATCTCTCCTTCTACTTTTGGGGCTGTTACACCATAGTCTCCTTTAATTTTAGGACCTTTCAAATGTAAACCAACATCTGGCATGGATATCTTCTGAGGTTTTATATTCATTTCTGGCATCTTAAATTTAGGACCTCTTAGTTTTGCATCTGGACCTTCAACATTCACATCTGGAACTTCAACATCCACCTTGGGTCCTGAGATGTCAATGTCAGCCTTGGGCAGGTTGACATCCACATCTGGGCCCTCTCCTTTGAAGCCAGGCATGTTGAACTTGGGCATTTTCATCTTGGGCATCTTCAAGTGCCAGTCTGGGCCATGAACATCCACATCTGGAGCACAGACGTCAACTTTGGGTCCTTTAAGTTCGACATCTGGCACTTTTATTTCACCTTCTACATCAGGCAAAGACACATCTACATCACCCTTGAGTTTTGGCCCCTTAAGATTCAGGTTCACATCAGGCATGGAGACCTTGGGGGCCTTGAAGTGCATCTCAGGCATCTTGAACTTGGGGCCCTTCAACTTTCCTTCTGGTCCCTCAAGGCTCACATCTGGGGCTTCAATGTCCACCTTGGGTCCAGAGATGTCAATGTCAGCCTTAGGCAGGTTCACATCCACGTCTGGGCCCTCTCCTTTGAAGCCCGGCATGCTGAACTTGGGCATTTTCATCTTGGGCATCTTCAAGTGCCAGTCTGGGCCGTGAACGTCAACATCGGGGACATCAATGTCAACCTTGGGGCCTTTGATGTCCACATCCGGCACTTTCATTTCACCTTCTACCTTGGGCACGGACACATCGACATCCCCTTTGACTTTAGGGCCTTTCAAGTGTAAGTCCATATCAGGCATGGAGATCTTGGGGGCCTTGAAGTGCATCTCAGGCATCTTAAACTTGGGACCCTTCAACTTTCCTTCTGGTCCCTCAAGGCTCACATCTGGGGCTTCAATGTCCACCTTGGGTCCAGAAATGTCAATGTCGGTCTTGGGCAGACTCACATCCACTCCTGGGCCCTCTCCTTTGAAGCCTGGCATGCTGAACTTGGGCATTTTCATCTTGGGCATCTTCAAGTTCCAGTCTGGGCCGTGAACATCCACATCAGGGACATCAATGTCCACTTTGGGTCCTTTGAGGTCAACGTCTGGCACTTTCATTTCACCTTCTATCTTGGGGACAGAGACATCCACATCGACATCCCCTTTGACTTTGGGGCCTTTCAAGTGTAAGTCCACATCAGGCATGGAGATCTTGGGGGCCTTGAAGTGCATCTCAGGCATCTTAAACTTGGGGCCCTTCAGCTTTCCTTCGGGTCCCTCGAGGCTCACATCTGGGGCTTCGATGTCAATTTGGGGTCCAGCGATGTCAATGTCAGCCTTGGGCAGGTTTACGTCCACATCTGGGCCCTCGCCTTTTAAGCTGGGCATGCTGAACTTGGGCATTTTCATCTTGGGCATTTTGAGACTCCAGTCTCCACCTTGTACTTCCACATCTGGTGCTTTAATGTCTACTTTGGGGCCTTTGATGTCCACATCTGGAACTTTCATCTCACCTTCTATTTTTGGTGCAGACATATCTACATTTCCTTTCATTTTGGGTCCTTTAAGATTGAGGTCGACATCTGGCAGAGTCATCTTCGGAGCTTTGAAGTGCATCTCAGGCATCTTAAACTTGGGGCCTTTCAACTTCCCTTCAGGTCCTTCAAGGCTCAGATCTGGAGCCCTAATATCTACCTTAGGTGCAGAAATGTCCACATCAGCCTTGGGCAGCTTCACATCCAATTCTGGGCCCTCACCTTTGAGGCTGGGCATGGTAAATTTGGGCATTTTCATCTTGGGCATCTTCAGGTTCCAATCAGGACCATGAACTTCAACGTCTGGGGCACTGATGTCTACTTTTGGCCCTTTCAGGTCGCCTTCCAGCTTTGGCACTGTAACATCATATTCTCCCTTTACTGTGGGACCTTTCAAATGCAAATCCACATCAGGCATGGAGATCTTTGGAGCCTTGATATCCATCTCAGGCATCTTAAACTTGGGACCCTTCAGCTTTCCTTCAGGTCCTTCGATATTCACATCTGGAACTTCAACATCCACCTTGGGTCCTGAGATGTCAATGTCAGCTTTGGGCAGGTTCACGTCCACTTCTGGGCCCTCTCCTTTGAAGCCTGGCATGCTGAACTTGGGCATTTTCACCTTGGGCATCTTCAGGTGCCAGTCTGGGCCATGAACATCCACTTCTGGAGTATCAATGTCCAATTTGGCACTTTTAAGTTCAACATCAGGAACTTTAATCTCACCTTCCACCTTTGGCACTGTGACATCATATTCTCCTTTTACTTTAGGGCCTTTCAAATGTAAGTCCACATCTGGCATGGAGACCTTGGGGGCCTTGAAGTGCATCTCAGGCATCTTGAACTTGGGGCCCTTCAACTTTCCTTCTGGTCCCTCAATTCTCACATCCGGGGCACTAATGTCCACCTTGGGCCCAGAAATATCCACATCAGGCTTGGACAAGTTCACATCCACATCTGGGCCCTCTGCTTTGAACCCTGGCACACCGAATTTGGGCATTTTCATCTTGGGCATCTTCAGATGCCAGTCTGGTCCATGAATGTCCACATCTGGAGCAGCGATGTCCACCTGGGGACCCTTCAGTTCTCCTTCAAGCTTTGGTACCGTTACATCATACTCTCCTTTTACCTTTGTGCCTTTAACATGCAAATCTACATCGGGCATGGAGATCTTTGGTGTCTTGGCACTCACGTCAGGCAACTTAACATCAGGGCCTTTAAGTTTGCCCCCCAGGCCTCCTATGTTGACATCTGGGGCTTCCATGTTGATCTTGGGCCCAGAAATACTGACATCTCCTTTGGGTAGATTCACATTTACATCTGGGCCTTCCCCTTTGACTCCTGGAGTGCTGAACTTGGGCATTTTCATCTTAGGCATTTTCAGGTTCCATTCTGGGCCATGAACATCCACGTCTGGGGCACTGACATCCACTTTGGGGCCTTTGACATCAACTTCAGGGACTTTGACTTTCCCTTCTACTTTCGGGAGTGTGACGTCTACACCCCCTTTCATTTTAGGTGCAGCCACATTTAAATCTACATCTGCCATAGAGATACTGCAGGTTCCCATCTTTCCAGAAGGACCACTCAGCTTGGGGCCTGCCAGAGTCCCCTCTAGGCTGGGTGTCTCTATGTCCACTTTGGAACCTTTAACTACCACTTGAGGGCCTTTAACATCACTTTGCACTCCCGGAGCAGAAACTTTAATGTCTCCTTTCAGTTTGGAGGAGCCAAGGCTCAGATCCACATCCTGCATGGAGATTTTAGGGGTCTGAGTAATCAGTTCAGGACTCTTGACTTTAGTACCCTTCATCTTCCCTTCCAGACCCCCAGTGGCCACCCTGGGCAGGCTGACATCCCCAGAGATCCCAGGAAGGGTCACTTCACCTGTGGGCAGTGTCACATCAATGCCAGCTCCCTCTCCCTTAGAACCCGATACAGAGAATTTCTGGACTTTCATTTTGGGCATATTTAGTTCGCCCCCAGACCCATGAATATCAACGTCAGAGGCTCGACCTTCCACACTGGGGCCAGCGATGCTGCCCTTCATTTTGGGAGCAGAGACGTCCACCCTTATCCTCCCCTGTGGCTTGGCTCCTTTGAGTCCTAGCTCTCCCTCAAGGGATGGCCCAGTGATCTGGGGGCCCTTCAGCTTCCCCTTAAGCCCCTCAATATTAGCAGAGGGAGCAACGACTTCTAGCCGAGGGGTCTGGACGTTCCCGCCAATGGTCACACCTGGCTTGCCCTCCTTGTGCCCCGCAGAGAATTCAGGTGTGAAAACAGCCAATCCTGCCTCTGGTGCCTGGCCTTCAGGCCCTTCTGGGACACCAAATTTTGGCACCTTCATGGCTGGTATTTTAATTTTCCCATTATTGCCATTCTCAAGAGATGGGCCCTGCAACTCTACTGCCTCACCCCCAAGAGAAGACAAAATGTCCACTCCTGGAACCCGGATGCCCCCTTTGCCATCCAAGTCCAAGCCCTTTGCACTGACATTGACTCCCGGGCTTCCCACCTTTATCCCAGGCACGGTGACCTGGAGCTTCGAGTGGCCAGCACCTTGGAGCTCTGGTCCCGAAGCGGAAATGGACCCCGCTCGGATGTCCACAGCAGAGCCTGTGGTTGGAGACACTGCCCCCGAGCCCGAGGGCAGTCTGATCACGGTCATCCCAGGCTGGGCCTCCACACCCACAGTGGAGATTTCCGTCAGTTCATGCCGTGGAATCTTGATCTTGAACTCAGGGCTGCTGATGTCGATGTCCTTGGCTCCTTCCCGGCCGGTCACATCCACTGTGTAGGCCGTGACCCTCCTAGTCACCGTGATGGTGCGGCTCTGGGTCTCCCCAGGGTCCCCTTCCACTCCATCCTCCGACCTCAGCCGAGGCTTGATCTTCGTGGCATAGATGCGCTGATACTCCTCATCATCCCCGCTCTGCAGAAAGACATGCCCGGCACAGGTTGCAGCAGAGTCTGCCCGAGTTACAGACGCCCGGCCACAGCCCAGCCGACAACATGACTGCCTGTTTCCCAAAGAAGCTGGGACCATAACGGAGGTCCATGGAGCCTCCTGGGGCTCAACGCAGGGGGCCGATGAGAGGGGCTGACAGCCACATCACAGAGGAAAACAGACATTATTTGGGGAAACTCCAGTAAGCAAGTCATGGGGAGGGGGGTGCAGACTCCTGGACTGCGCAGCCTGGGAAGAGAGTTTACGGATAGTTCTAGACTCAAATCAGCCTGTCAAGTACCAGGGACGCCTCCGGGCCACCAGCTCTACACTGACTTGACCCTGAGGCTCTCGGCTCGACTCACTGGTGTGCTGGTTTAACCGGGAAGGGATTCCTCCCGAAGACCCCTGCAAAGTATCTGTTGAGGCTGCTTGTGCTCGGGTGAACACTTCCACTTCGAGGACCATTATCTGTTACATGAACAAGCCATCGGAAGGAACAGGAAAACGTCCCTCAAGCACTCTGCTGCTCAGCCTCTGACTCACAGGTGAGTCCAGGCCTCTGGGAGGCAGAGCTAGGCACCCGTGAAATCATTTCAAAGACTCTGGCAGAGCGGCCAACGTTCCTCCCGACATCTAGGACCAGACAGAAGGAGTCGGTTCCCACGCTGCGGCACTCAGAAGAGACTGCAGGAGGCACTTGGGGGCAGCGTCGGCCACATGCCCCAGGTGAATAGGAACAGACAGACTGGCTCAGCAGAGAGACAGAGGGGGTGAAATTAGGAGAAAGAATGACAAGAGCGGTCCAGTGGGCGGACAGAAGGCTCAGGAAGCGAGGCCAGCAGGCTGGTGTTGCCGGGGAGGAACTCAGGGCGCGGACGGGCGGGTGAGGCACTCACCAGAACCACTTCGGAGCCATGGGAGCTGAAGACTCCGTGGGTCCAGGTCTGGCCGGGCTCAGGGGAGCGGTCGCCCTTGCGGTGCAGCTTCAGACCCACGGCGTGGTGCCCCATGGTGCTCAGCAGCTGCGTCACCTCGCCCGACTGCAGGTTGTCGAAGTAGATGGTGGCGCCCACTATCTGGTCCCCTGAGCAGGGAGGGGAAAGAAGGGGGGTCTCAGGGAAACAACACACAACCACCGCGTGCTCGGCGCCCTCACCGACGTGCATTTAGTGCGTGTCATGACACCCTGCAAGGCAGGTGTGGTGACACCCGGTGTACAGATGAGGAAGCTGAGGCTTAGAGTCTCCAAAGTGGCAAGAGGTTGTGAGCGGTGGAGTCGGAGCTGAGGACTATGTCTCCACCACCCTACATGACTGTCCCCGCCAAGGACCATGAGCAAGTGACAGACCCCGAGTGGGCAAGAGACAGCAGGGTCTGGGCACTGACCAGCCTAATGGCACTAGGAACAGGCCCTCCACAGCCAGGTGGCCCTTCTGCCTGCCCCCTGCCCTTCCCTCCACCACCCTCACCCACCCCAGCCCAGCACCCAGCCCGCACCCAGCCCGCACCCTGAGGTGACTCACCCTCCTTGACCACCCCAGTGCGGGCCGCAGGGGAATTCTGCATGACTTCCTGCACAAAGACGCCGTCGTCCCTCTGGGCAATGGTCAGCCCGTGCGAGCCGCTACCCTGCCAGTTGGGCAGCAGCAGCTCCCGGGTCGTCTCCTCCTCCTTCTCCATCTGGGATGACGGAAGGGAATGAGCTCAGGACACTGGGGCGCAAGGCACAGCAATGAGGGGGTGTGGAGCACCGTCCTCAAGGTCCTCAAGCCCGCAGTGCTCCAGGGCTCAACAAAGATGGAAAGTGGACAGGATGCAACCGGCCTCGGAGGTCACCAGCCCCTCGTCTCTTCCACCCAAACCCTGCCTCCAGAGGCCACCCGGGGTCTCCCCCTCCCCATCCGGTCACCTCCACCTCTCCCACCGCCCCCCCCTCCACTGACCTTAAGACGGTCTGTTCCGG